AAACTTCGAAGGATTTTGGGGTTTTTCTGTTCTGTCAATCACCTTAGTGGACCTCCTAGGAAACACATGTTTGCTTGTTCAAGTTCAAAAGGTCATGGTTTGTGACTTTTGTGATTGGTGGATTTTGGTCCGTTTTTTTGTTTCGCGTTTCAAGGTTTGTTGCTTTGTGATCATCCTGTTTTGGGCAATAATCGACTGGTTAAGTTTGCTTCACAGATTTTCCTGATCTTTCTTATTCTTATCACTTGCAAGAATAACGCAATGTCTGCCTCCTTCCTTCAACAAAAAATCTACTCACCATTGCGATTTCCTTTGCTATTCTTGAACAGTCTAGAGCTTGGCCAAGCTGGGCGAGCACATTACAATGTGATTTGCATTAACCCTGCCTTCACTAAAGTGATTGATGGAACAAAAAAACCCAAAATCTCTTCAAAGTTTGCAATACGCGCAGGGTGATACAACGAATTTCGCTGTAATATGTCAACCAATCAGAACTCCTGACCAGATTTAGCACAGACTTTATGTCATTGCCATGGAATTTCTGTCATTGAGGCGCAGATGTCTCTCCAATGAAACTTCCCTTGGGGAAAGGAGAAAGGAAAGAAAAATTGTAAGAGCTTTCTCCAGGGACATAGAAAAATGTCCGTTATGAGGTGTAAACCCCAGGTGGGTGAGGTTAACCCGCTTTAATAAGTGGGGTAACTCGCCTGTCCATATTAAACGAGATTTAAATAATTAAGTGACCGGGTGTTTTGAAGGTAACTTTAATTAATGCTAAAAATACCATTAACTGAATATTATTTGCTCATGAGTCCAACACTTTCTACTAAATAGTCGTGAACTTTAAGTTAAGCTCACAATCATACCTCAAAAGACCTGTGTCGGATTTTTCAAGACTTCTGCCATGCCACGTCCGTGAATGTTCAGCCCATAAATAACTCCAAGTGTTGAAGAATGGGTTAATGAACCCATGGATGTCAAATCCGAGTTCTTAAAGTCTATAATAATGCCAAGTTGGAGACCTTAAAAATGCACATGTTTCTGCTTTAGTCACTCCGCCGCCATATTGGTTTCTTTTAGAACCCAGTCTCAATTGGCGCGTGAGTCTCGCGCTACATGTACTCGTTTCGCGTTTTTCGAGTGCTCGTAAAGGGCTCCCAGTTGTAGTTTGTAGTCTTCTTCAAGGGCATCAGAAAATACATATTTCTGGCTGTAGTGACGTTTCTCGTAAAATTTCATTATTCACGGGTGAGACTGATCAGTAATTCTATCTTCTAAGAAGTGACGAGTATTTCAACTGAGTAATGAAACTTTGCCTCGCGCGCTCCTCGCCGCTAGGGACGTTTCGCGGGAGAGACACGTCTCTAGCGAGGGGAGTCGGCTTTATTTGCAGGCTAATAACCAAACACATGGCATACCTGTGGGAGCGCAAAAAATGGTTCAAAAAGAGCCCATACCTGGGTTTAAAGAAATTCGCAATCAGACTGAGCTGCACCAGCAATCGGCTCCTGGCTGCAAGGAACGAGAACTCAGAACCTGTAGCGCTATGTCACGGGAATCCATGACAATCTGGGATTCTCGATTCCACTCCATCACGTATTTGAGGATTCCAGGTACTGGATTTCAGTCTCCATAACTAGAACTTGGATTCTGGATTTTAATCGTTAGTGGAATCCTTAAGCTGTATTCTGGACTCCAAAGCCCAGGATTCCGGATTTCGGAACCCGGATTCGCCTCCATGGAGTGAAGCTTGCTTGGCAGGTGCATAAAGGGGTGGGGATACTGAGGAAAAAAGAAGAAATTCCCCTCCCTTTCGCTCCAAATGCCTGCCATGCAGGCTAGGATTGCTGGTTTGAATTCTCCCGGGCAGTAAAGGGTCTTTGACCCGACGGCTGCCATGCTGATGAGCCTCAACAAGGGCGAAACAGCTGCCCATGGCTGCCACTGCCCGGGTGATATGGTTGTGGGCATGCGTAAGGTACTGGCCATATCGCGGGGTTGGTAGCGTGTGCTTCAGTCCTGAAATATGCCATTTTACAATTATGGATGGAAGCGAGGCTGAGGGTGACCTTGTTTTGATACAAACCTTCTTTGCTTTGTTATGGAAATTGTTCTTGAAAAATACTATTTAGCGTAAGAATAACTTGATTTACATAATAAATCAGGAAGGTTTGTATCAAAACAAGGTCACCCTCAGCCAACCTCGTCCCCAGGGCTTTTCCCTTAAAAAATGGGTGGCCCCACCCATTTTTTAAGGGAAAAGCCCTGGGGACAAGGTTGACCCTCAGCCTCGCTTTCATCCGTAACTGTAAAATGGCCTATTGGTAATATGAACTCAAGCCCAAGTCAGGGGCGGATCTAGGGGGAGGGTACTGGGGGTGGGCACCCCTCCTTTGAGATGACCTGCGGCTTTCTAATACAACAGGTATTCTGCAAAGAAAAAACTTTGTGGTTTTTTGGTGTTGAATTAAAACATGAGACAAGGTTGAAGAATTTAAACGCCGTAAAAATGGTAGTTAAAATGGTAGTTCTTTAGTGGAGCACCCCCTTTTAAGAAATATCCTGGATCCGCCCCCTGCAAGTATTAAACGCTGGCAGGAAAATGAAGTTCAACTGGTAAAACCCACGAAACGCTCAGCAAGTTCGTCGGTTTACTTGCAATACCATGAGCGATGCATGTTTATAAGCAGGATCGTTATTCCGCGCGGTCTGTGCGTTTCGGCTCACGTGTTCAAAGAGAGCAAGCTTAGCCTGAGGAAAGAGTGAAATGACATCTGAGGAACGGGCGCAGCAATTCCATTCCGATGACGTGTAACTTCCTAGATCTGGGTGGTGCTTCTGATTGGTTGAAGCAGATTTCCCTCTGGGCAAGACCAATCAGAAGCACCACCCAGAGCTTGGAAGTGACAGCGATATGGAGGGCGCTCGTTCCTCAATATATACACTCCCTTCTTCTCTCCCTCCCCCTCCCCACTCAAGTACATGAATCAGCTGCATGCATGGCTAGGGAAAACGTCTAAAAAGAAGAAACGAAAAAGAAATTATAGACAACCTGGGAGATTGGGGGCTAGCATTCGATCAGTACTTAAGAGTACTATGATCACTTGGGGAACACGTGACTTATGAAAGGTCGGTAATTTTCTCTTCACTTTACGTTATTTCAGATGCTACTTTGTTATTTCCAAACCCCCAAGCAATCCATCAATACAATACGCAATCCCCTGATTTTTTTTCTAGGGATGAAGGAGCTTACAGCCTATAACTGGGGCTCCTGAGAGAGGCAAATAATAGGGGTCAATTTCACGATTATATGGCGTCATTTTACTACCATGATTAGCCTATTTCTAAACGTAGTAACACAAACAATAGCTTATATACATTTTCTCAATTTTATTTGAACTAAATTGCTCTTAAATAATACTTACACATTTATTACTTAGTCGAACTTTGCGAATTTATATTTCCACAATTTTTTATTACTATTATTACATTCACATTAACACGTATATTAACTTCAATTTTTTCTATTCTGAAATTCTTTGTTTTTTAAATATCTGTAACCAAAATACTTACTGTTTTGGAGTTTGAAAATTTAGATAAAAAGGTTGGTCTTAAATTTGTACGGGCTTAAGTAAAACTGAAAGATTGAAACTGATTTTATATGAACAAGATATTTTTAATGGAAAAGAACGAAACCGCTAACAAGTGACAATAGATTTTGGATTTAGGGTCAGAAAGTTGTATAGTTTAATATAATTTGCTAAAGTTATAAACATTTTCTTCAAATAAAATATGGCAATTTTTACTTAAAAGATAACAGAGAAAGGAAATAGTTTTCAGAGTCATCTGTTCTGGGTGGGATCCAGTCCCTCACAGTCATATCTCTTTCAGAGGAAACAATCGAGGACTGGTTTTGTGAAGGGTTCTCGGAATACCTGGAAACAATAAAATTGTTCAGTTACATAAACGCTTTTACGAAACGAGCCATTGAAAAATAACATACAGTTAAACCTCTTGTTACAAACATCTCTAAGAGTGAACTCTACGAGGCTGTATGATATACGCACCAGGCTTCTCAGTGACGAAGGGCCGCGGAACAACAGGTTCGGGTCAGCAAGAGGAAAAAGGCAAAGTGAGGAGAGGGGAGGGTAGGGGACTGAAGAGGCCTCTCCTCATTCTCCTAATAGCACGGCCCGCTTTTTTGCGGCCATCACCTCGTAATTCATCTTTTTACCCACCGAGTAACCTGGTCCAGGGCAACTTAATACAGACAATGTATACGGACGTCAAGGAGCCGAGAATCAACTATTTTAGCAAAAACGTAAATCAGTGAAAACCCAAGTACAATTCAAAGAAAAGTGTAAACTTTTAAATGGAAATATCTCAGAAGAGAGAATATATGTTACATTTTGAAATAATTATCCCCAATCTACAACTGGGCTGAAAGAGGGAACAAAGCGGAGTCAGGAGCACATGAAAGCCCGCGGGAGCCCATAGTGGAGTAGTTGACTTCAGTGTGACTTCCTACCGTTTAGCATTACTGCTAACAGCAGTAATAGATCACTGACATTTTCTTACCTCAATGTGCTGGTTTCATGCCCCAGATCTCTCGCTTGTGCGTCCAACGCCGCCCACTGGAGAAACAACAGAAGGGATATGTTACTCACTATATATAGTTCTCAAATTACAGTGTTTTAATTTAGCCAACTGATTTGCTTAATCTCATCCTTAAACTGACTCTTTGAGACTGGCCTCAAACGGTGTTACGGTAGCGTTATTATCATCATCACTATCGTTCATAATACCTGAAATGGTAAAATACGCCCTCCGTTACATACGTTTTGATGACATAAAGCCGTCCGATACATATCAGAAGCTGGTCTTTTCAATGTGTGTCAGTAAGCACTATAGTTGAGCCCTGGCAACTTCTTTATTTAGGCCTTACGAGAATGCGACACTTATTTTTAGCAATGCATAGTTTGTTGACTTGACTCATAACAGGGTATACAATTTAAGGAAATCTTATTCAAAACAGGGTCTAATTTTTCGTAAAGAAACGGTAGGGAATCTATTATTGGCCATTTCTAACAGCAAGGTTATAAAACAGAGTCTATTGCAAGTTCAAGGCTATCTCTAAGGGCGAGCGGTGTGGGGCGAGGATTTGCCCCGGCTTCGATGAGCATGATTCCCCTCTTACATAATGCATATACCCAGAACCTTGAAATGTTAGTAACAGTCCAAACTGCAGGCATTTTAAATTTTCCGGCTTTTTTTCCTACATGGGATCAGGGCTCCAAATCCTCAGGGGTACCCCACAATTATTGATAATGGCCAAAGGTGAGAAGGGTACGAAGGACCCCCTTCCCCACTGAATGCTTTTTTGCCCCATTTTCTAAAAGGAAAAGCCCTAGAAATGATGTTGGGGGAAGGCTTGTAGGTCTTTCTTAAACAAAGCGCAACATCTAAGTAGTTGACTTGTACCCAGTGGCCTGCGTAGCAAGCATTTCCGTCCGGTTTCGGAGCAAAAAACGACGAACCAGAGTCAAAGACCGCGCGAAAAATGGCGCGAGTTAAAGACGAGGAGGGGTGGAGATTGGCTCTCGTTCTATTTCATGCGTGGCCAAAAACGAAAATCCCGTTCCTCGTTCTTTCAACAGAAACGCTTGTTACGCAGGCTATGTACCCAGTCGCTGTTTATACTTCTGTGAAAAGAGGGAAGATTAGATGATACTGTTGCGCGCGGTACTCATTGGAAAGGATGAGGAGCAATTTCCTTCATCCCTTCCATAACACTCCGCTTTCCCGAATCTAACACCAATCTTCTCTCACCTCAAAAACAAATAAATAGCGAATGCGACTGAATACGATTCTGCGTAAGTAGGATTATATATCAAGGCTTACCGTCAACGGGCGAGAAGACGCATCTGTTGGCGAGGAGTCAGTCAGGACAGCTTCTGCTTCTCTCAATGTGTTTTCTTTTTTCATCATCAGGCTTTGAGTGCTTTGAGTGTATCTTCTGCAAAGGCTTTTAATAGCAACGTCCAGCTTCCCCAAGAAATCTACGATCTGTTCAACAACATTTTGCAGAGCTCCAGCAGTCTCACTCACGTGTCTCAAACCTTCCTGCGCTTGTACCAGTTCAGTCTCTTTCTGCTGAAAGCGTTGTTTGCTGTTCTGTAATTCTCTCTCCTTATCACGGCTTGTTTGGGTTTCCAGTTTCAAAGAGTTTCTTACATAAGCCAGTTCTTTTCTTTCTTCCTTCAGCAGGCTCATCCACAATGCTGAATCTCTCGTATCGCAACCCCTTTGCCAGGCAAACATCCCGACGCGTTCAATCTCGCGCTTGTTTTGTCGAATGCGCTTTTTAAGCTTCTTAATTCCAGATTTGAACTTTTTCTGTTTCGCGTCCAAAATCGTCTCGGGATTTTCCTTTTCATCCACTGCCTGTGTCTTGGTTATCAACGTTTCCTGGAGATATTTGTTTTGTTCAGTGAGTTCTTCTATTTGTTTTAGCAGCTCGCTGAATTCAACGTTTTCTTCATCCGATGTTTTTGACAATTCTAAAGCCATCTTGCCTTTTTCTTTATAAATGGTGACTGTTGGTGTTTCATAGATAACTTCAATCTGTTTGTTCTTGTTTCTGAACTTCGCAAGTTCATCCTCCAGGCATTTCAACTGACTCTTTAACCCTTCGTCTCGATTTTTACCCAATTCCAGGGAACCTTTCAACAGTTCAACTTCTTCACGTAAATACCCATAATCAGCGTTTTCACTGTTTATACGATGAGTCATTTCCTTTAAATCCTTTACCATCTCCCTTGCTTCATCGCATTCGAATTGTAGAACTTCGTTGCTTTCTTTGCTTTCTTTCAGCTTAGCCTCCAGTAGTTCGATTTGATATAAGGAATAGCTCTTTTCCATCTCCGCGAGGTTGTCTTCACTGTCCTTTTTTTCTTTTAACTCGTCAACAATCACCCTCAGTTCGTCACATTCAAATCGAAGATTTTCTGTGCTTTCTTCGCTGTCTTTCAGCTTTTTTTCTAACAGTTCGATTTGGTACAAGTAGTAGTTCTTTTCCATCTCCGCAAAGTTGTCTTCACAGTCCTTTTTTTCTTTTAACTCATCAAAGATCACTCTCAGTTCGTCATATTCAAATCGAAGATTTTCTTTGCTTTCTTCGCTGTCTTTCAGCTCATTCTCTAGCAGTTCGATTTGGTACAAGTAATAGTTCTTTTCCATCTGCGCATAGTCAAGTTCATCTTTTAAATCCTTAAGCTGTCCATCTTTTTTCTTGATGGCTTCTCGTAGATTTGTAAATGCTCTTTCTCTGTATTCTTCATTAGAATTGAGACGCTTGAGTTCAAATCTTAATGCTTCAATCTCAGTCGGCAAACGTTCACTTTGAACTTCTCCAATTTCTCTCTTCGTCAAAGCTCCTTGGTCCACAAGCTTTTCATTCTCTTTCTCGTATAACTCAACAATAGGAGAGTTGATATCCATATCTCTTAACTCCCTGCAGACATCTCCATTTAGACAAGAACCACAGCTTCCAGAATGACCACAGCGCAATCTGATATCACCCACAGCGTCCCAGGAATCCTCACCATTATCAGCTCCTTTTTCTGAAATGTTATCAAACTTAGCTTCGTCTTGGACATCCAAGACCCTGGTGTCTTCTGTTGGTGTTTTGCCGATGCAGGGTGCAATCGCAATGCAAATGTCCTCAAACGACCCTCTTCCACTATCTTCTTCCAGTTTATCTTGATGGTAGCTTGACTCCTCCTTGTTTTCATCGTAGTCATGACTTTCCTTTTTTAGCACCTCTCTTCGCTCCCTAAATAGAAATTATACCCATTAATTAACATGCCTGAAATATTAAATTGCATTGTTTAACATACAGAGGTCATCAAGGACCAGTCAGTATTCCAGTGCTGAAAGCCAGGAAAAGAGCTTTACTTAAGCTGTTGAGGGTATTTCTACTATTATTGCGCTGATTGGTCCGTTTAGTTGTGACATTGTTTTGAACAGCCAATCAGAAAATCAGCCAGGAGAAAGGGAGCAAGATTGTCCCGCGCTTACTCAAGGTGCTGCGCGCGCTTCTTTTTCGTGTTTTGAAATATGTAGTCAATTCCTATGAGAAAAGAAAGCACTTTTCTGTAAAAAAAAAAAAAGAAAAACTCAATCTTATCCGTATCATCATTATCATGATCGTTTGTGATAGACACCGCTCACGGTATTACATTATAATGAAGCCAGACTTGTAGAAGCATAATCTAGACCATCAAATAAAATACGTCAGGAGATCTCAAAAGGGTGCATTTACATTCTCTTGTGTATGCAAAGAGACCTCCCCCTAAATGTAACGGAAGACAAAAATGTTACATTGATTACTTACTTGGCAGCATTTGTCATATCTTCGTCATCGACTGAGAATGAGGAGTTACGCTTGAAGTCACCTTGTGGCCCACCACCGCTACTTGTGGCGGTATGTGCTTGCATGATAGGACTTCCAGCCTCAACATCAGTATTCAAACCTGGTGTGAAGTCATCCTTTCTCCCACAAGATAACGGATCACTGTCCGCAATATCATTTCTCGTCTCTTGTAAAGCACAATACTCTTTCTCGTTCTTTGATTTCTGTTAAAATAACGCGCCGCCGGAACTCGGTTATTGCGTGTTTTACGAAAATGACAAAATAAAGAGTATAAAATAAATTTGCCACTATTTACCTCCTTGTTTTCCACAGAAGTGAGTTGTCTTGATGTTTGTGGCCGGACTTGATTGTACAAACTTCTAAGAGGCTTACTGCACAGGCGTTTGGATTTGGTTGGAGAGTTAGGTTTAACTTTAGCTTGCTTACAGCGTCCATCGCTTAGACTTACACCTGTGTAAATGTCCAGTAATTACTTATAAGTTCACCAACAATTACCATTTGTAATCCTTATTTCCTTTTTATAAAGTCTCTCCCTAGTATTTCTCCTTCAATATCCGCCTGCAATATGTCATCTTATTCTCTTTTTACCCTCCTCCTTTTCCTCAGTTAATTCCCCGTAAACCCTTTCAAGAATAATGAGCTCTGCTTTATGGCTCTCGTTGTATACTAAGCCCCTTCCGCTGTTTAGTAGTTTCTTTAATATACCACCCCTCTATCGTATGAGCCTCTCCCTCTTGGAAGCCCCACTCTCCAGTTATGCCCTCTCTAGTGTGCACCTCCTTATTAGAATTCTCTCTCGTCTAATTATTCCTTCTTCTCTTTTACGCCTCTGTTACTATAAAGGATCTCTCTCTAAAATATCACAAAAGACAGCCACTTCTGCAATCCCCATACCCGCCTCTAACGTGCCACTCTCTAACAAGCAAACTCTAATTTATATCACCATATCACTTTCTGAAAAAAGTTGAAAAATTTAATTCCTCCCTGTACTGGTTAGCCCATCTCCTTCGTTCTTAGCATCTCTCTCTGTCAGTTCCTACCCTCATAAGCCCCGCTTTCTAGCAAGCTGATGTATCGAATGCACCCTCTATACTAGTAAGAGCCACTAGGTCTCGAATTAGTCCCCTTCTAAAACGCCGACTTCTTTCACAATATTCCATTCTGTTAATTTGTCTCGCTATTCACTGATCTATCTAAATGACGGATGACTTTGTACACTTCAGCAAGAACCCTGTTTAGTCTCTCTCGTCTATAATCTTCCCTGAATATAATCTCTTCTGTAAATTAATCCATACACTTTTTACTCCGTGTTACTGTCCATATTCTTGAAGGAAATTGGGAAATTAAACTTACTTGTCTTAAAATTACTCGTTTTTTTTAACAAGAGTGTTATACAGTTTATCGTTGAGGCGATATAGTTTTTGTCTAAATCCTCATTTTCATTCAAATTATAAAAGAAATCCACAATACCTGTTTTCTCCGCACTATCCTTTTTCTTTACAACAGAAACAGGAATTCTTGATGATCGATCTTTCGCGGAATCCCTCGGCAAAGGTCTTTTTATGCCCGTTTTGTCCTCCAACGAGAAACTTTTATGGTCACCACTGGTCAATCGAGTCAGTCTAATTGGTATTTTAGAGTTTCGCTGCACGGGAGCCGAGTGAAATCTATTGTCATCTTTTTTCTCCCTGCCCGTAAGCCGCGAAGCCATCGTTGTTGTTCTGACGGGGATTTTCACATCACGCCAAACGAGGATTTTTCAACTTGTTATTAACTCTGACTTTTTTAAAAATCCTTTTTGTTTGTTTTTGCTTCTTTTTTCAGAGTCTTTTTCTCTGAAAATCACTTTGAAAATATCGAAAACTGGTCTGCACAGTAAGCATGTACACACGCTCGAAAAGCAGAAGCGAAATGATTGTTTTCTTTCAATGACTATGGAAACGCATTTCGTCACAAACATCGCTCTAAAGAGTTTTTTTCGATTGCTCGCGCAAACGGGCATTTTGCTAGCTTATTTCGTAAGATATTTTGAATTCATGCTTAATTAAGCATCCTTTTTCTAATCCGCCTGAAAACAAGTGTTCTCATAAAAAGCAAAAAAACCCTTTCTTAAAGCATATTAAAAGGATAATCTTATCTTTTTGGAATAACAACGTTGAAAATCGCTTAAACTCAAGTTTAAACAACTATAATCCCTTCGTTCCATGGAAATAGTCATGAATTGCTTTTTAAAATTCTTCAAAAAAGGAGGTGGATCCAAAGAGCCAGGTCACGCCCCCATTCTCCCGCGCTTTTCTCCCCCTGCTCGACACTCTCCCCTTTTTTGCGCCTGACGCGGGGGTATGCGTCATAAACCGTTGTGTCATTCTCGTTCCCAGAGAGTAGCCTGCGCGCAAGCTCTCCTATTTGGCCGAGCGAAGCGAGCCGCGCGAAAACGCGGGAGTTAACGGCGAGGGGCCGCGTCTCCTCTCCCGTGTCTACTTTTCAAGATACCAGAGAGCAGCTGTGTAGACAGTAATTGTGTCAGCTGTGATCTCTCAAGATGATGCGCAGTTGTATCATTTTCCGCGCCCTTCACCATGTGATCGCTTTGTGGGTGGAAAAGACGTTTATTTTCCTTATTTAACTGATGTATTAAAATTCTCTCATTACCATGGTCTTGATCGAAGATTCATCGTGGGAACCAATCAAGGAGACAAAAAGAGAACCGTTTTGCGTGGAGATGATGAAACGTCTTGATATTCAAAGAAAGAAAGGGCAGTTCTGCGATGTTGTGTTGGAGGTGTGCAACGGCGAGGATCAAGCTCGCTTCAACGCTCACAGGGTCGTATTATGCGCAGGAAGCCCATTTTTCTACAGTGCCCTTAACAATGACATGAAGGAAAGCAAAGAAGGACTTATTAGATTAGAAGATATGAGCAAAGTTGCGATCGAGGAATTGTTAGACTATCTCTACACCGGACACGTAGATGTCACGCAACACAATGCGTTCGACTTGTTAAAGATAGCTGATTTTTTGGTGATTCCCAGTTTGAAAGAGGTTTCAAGCAAGTTCATCATACAGACATTGTCTTCTTCAAACTGTTTAATGGTATATTATTTGGCTGTAAATTATCGGTGCTTTGAATTACAAGAAAAAGCAAGAGATTTCATCTATGCAAATTTCACTCGCGTTGTCGAACACGAAGATTTTCTTAACTTAACCATCAACGAGGTGGAAGAGTGGATATCAAGCGATGAAATCAGAGTGAGAGGAGAAGAAGACGTTTTCGAGGCAATTGTGAAGTGGGTAGAACAAAAGGGGAGCGGAGAACGTGAGAAATTTTTTGAATTATTTCGTCATGTTCGGCTTATTTACTTGTCACGCAACTATGTTTTAAATGACATTTTGCCACATCCTTTGATAACCAACGAAAAAGCATGTACAGCTTTTGTCTTAGATACAATAAAACATGTCTCTTGTGGCTCTGAAGAGTGCTTTTTTGCCCAAGCACCAAGAAACTGCCTGAAGACAGCAGAAGATTGCCTTGTTGTGTCTGGAATTACTAAAACCCTTTGTTATGTTGCCCATGAAGACAAGTGGTATCAGATGGCAGACAAGGCCAAGAGTAGGTATCTGTATTCTGCGAGTGCTTATCATGGTAAACTTTATATAAACCATGGAACTGGTGTTGATTATGCTATTGAGCGATTTGATCCAGCTGTAAACTCATGGGCACCTCTGACATCGTATAGTGGTGAAATGTCACACTACTTTGCAGCTGTTGTTTATTTCCAAGGATTTTTGTATGTGATTGGTGGAAAACAAAACGGAGAGGTAGCAAACTGTGTACATAAATACAGTCCAGATACAAACCTTTGGCAGGAAGTAGCAGCAATGAATGTTTCCAGATTTTCACCACGTGCTGTAGCTGACGAAGACATGATATATGCAATTGGAGGTCAGAAAAACGATCAAATACTGGATGTAGTAGAAAGATTTGACCCCAAAATGAACTCTTGGTGTAGAGTTGCTTCAATGCTAGAGAAGAAATTGCTCCCTTGTGTTGCAATTTTAAATACTAGA